CACATATATATATATATATATATATATATATATATATATATATTGTGTTATAACAAATTTGTGAGATTGCGATGAACTGAGATGTCTTTTAGAGATTATAAATGCTGCGCTCTTTGCTGGTATTCTGTACGGTGACCGAGAAGTGCAAAGCAAATCACAATTCTGAAAACAAAATAACAAATTACAAACGCAAATGCAAGTCTAAAAAACAAAATAACAATTCAGAAATCACAACAACAATTCAGAAAACATTATAACAAGTCAGAAAACACAATGACAAATTCGAAAACAAAATCAGTCAGAAAACACAACGACAAACCAGACAAACCAGAAGAGGTAGGTATAGTTTGAGACAGCGCCATTGGTTTGGGATTACTCACCGCTGACTGGACGAGACATCTGTCAATCAACGTATACAGGAAGAACCAGCCGAAGAACAGCAGAGTCGTGGTAGAAAGTTCGGAGATGGTATTAAAGTAGCTCAGTTTACTATTCCCTTATAGTAATTCCCTTGTATTCCCTTACTATGGTTTTCTGACTTGTTATTTTGTTTTCTAATTTGTCCTTGTGTTTTCTGACTTGTTAGAATGTTTTCTGAATTGTTGTTGTGTTTTCTGAATTGTTTTTTTGTTTTCAGATTTGTGATTTGTTTTGCACTTCTCGGTCACCGTAATTCTGCCATGCCAAACCATGCATGCAGCTGCCGCTTGCTTTAGTTAAAAATAACAGTGTTCTGTGAATGTTGATGCTTTAGTAACAAATACTTATCTGTAGCGTGTATGCTGGGATTTCATGAATTTCATGGAGAAAAAAGTAACGTAACTAGTAATGTAACTAATTACTAATTACTTTTGAAATAAAGTAATCAGAACAGTAACCTGATTTCTTTTAAAAGGAGATTATGTAAGATTAAGTAATCAGTAATTCAATAAAAATTTCAGAGTAACTTGCCCAACATTGGCCGTGAGCAAGCAGAAATAATCAAAAGGCTAAGCTCACCTTTGCTGAGGAGCATGTTGTGTGGAGAAGTCAGTGAAAGGTGGAGTAGGAAGTGTCGTGGTTTGGGGGATGTTTTCTGCAGCAGGAGTTGGGCCTCTTATACAGTTATATGGCAGGATGAATGCAAATGTTTACCAGAACCTTCAGCAACATGCGATTCCTTCCCTGCAATCATCTTCCAATCAGCCTGCAATTTGCATGCAGAGCAATGCTCCCTGTCACACTGCAAAACAGGTAAAGCAGTTCCTTGAAGCCAAGAATACTGAAATAATGAAATGGCCGGCCCAGAGTCCTGATCTAAACCCAATTGATAATCTCTGGAAAATCCTTGGCAACAAAGTTACCGAACTATGCAAGAGAGTAGAGGAAGAGTGGACCAAGATCACACCAGCGCAGTGTGATAAACTAGTGATGTCCTGCGGCCTCAGATGTGCTGAAGTCACTCAAAGCAGGGCCCTCTACACTTCCTACTCATTTCTGACAGCTGCAACCCTCCAGAATTTTAGTTGTAATCTTCTTTCGTGCTACAGTGGTTACTGTTCTCTACTTTTGATCACTGTGTTTTCCACAAACTAAAGGTTTTTATTGAACTGCCTTGGTTATTTATTAAAACATGCTGTGGTATACCCACAGCGAATAGTCTTTCAAATGTAAATAAAATTCTTTCAAACGATTTAAAAAAAAAAAAGTATTTTATAGATTGTTCTCTAATTTTGATCTCCAGTTTTCTCAGTTTTTTCAGCTCATAATAAATAACTAACTAAATACATAAGTAAATAAATAAAATAAATGTACATTTCAGTGATATCTGATATACTTCCTTTAGAAACCAAGAAGGCAAGGTTTAGCACGGCATTTAGGCCCTACTGGTAGGTAATTATACCATCTGGCTGCAAAAATATTTTTTCTTAATTCAAATTTAAAATAGCTGTGTATACACTCTTAAAAATAAAGGTGCTTCACGATGCCATAGAAGAACCTTTTTGTCTAAATGGTTCCATAAAGAACCTTCAACATCTGAAGAACCTTTCTGTTTCACAAAAGGTTTTTTGTGGCAAATAAGGTTCTTCAGATTATAAAAAGGTAAGAAAGAGATGGTTCTTTAAAGAACCTTTGACTGAATGGTTCTTTGTGGAACCAAAAATGGTTCTTCTATGGCATCGCTTGAAGAACCTTTTGAAGCACCTTTATTTTTAAGAGTGTACTGACATATATTTTGCAATAAAATTGCTAGAAATATATTTGATGTCAATGCATCAAAAAGGTGTTTTTTTAAAATACTTATCTGTAGCGTGTATGCTGGGATTTCATGAATTTCATGGAGAAAAAAGTAACGTAACTAGTAATGTAACTAATTACTAATTACTTTTGAAATAAAGTAATCAGAACAGTAACCTGATTTCTTTTAAAAGGAGATTATGTAAGATTAAGTAATCAGTAATTCAATAAAAATTTCAGAGTAACTTGCCCAACATTGGCCGTGAGCAAGCAGAAATAATCAAAAGGCTAAGCTCACCTTTGCTGAGGAGCATGTTGTGTGGAGAAGTCAGTGAAAGGTGGAGTAGGAAGTGTCGTGGTTTGGGGGATGTTTTCTGCAGCAGGAGTTGGGCCTCTTATACAGTTATATGGCAGGATGAATGCAAATGTTTACCAGAACCTTCAGCAACATGCGATTCCTTCCCTGCAATCATCTTCCAATCAGCCTGCAATTTGCATGCAGAGCAATGCTCCCTGTCACACTGCAAAACAGGTAAAGCAGTTCCTTGAAGCCAAGAATACTGAAATAATGAAATGGCCGGCCCAGAGTCCTGATCTAAACCCAATTGATAATCTCTGGAAAATCCTTGGCAACAAAGTTACCGAACTATGCAAGAGAGTAGAGGAAGAGTGGACCAAGATCACACCAGCGCAGTGTGAGAAACTAGTGATGTCCTGCGGCCTCAGATGTGCTGAAGTCACTCAAAGCAGGGCCCTCTACACTTCCTACTCATTTCTGACAGCTGCAACCCTCCAGAATTTTAGTTGTAATCTTCTTTCGTGCTACAGTGGTTACTGTTCTCTACTTTTGATCACTGTGTTTTCCACAAACTAAAGGTTTTTATTGAACTGCCTTGGTTATTTATTAAAACATGCTGTGGTATACCCACAGCGAATAGTCTTTCAAATGTAAATAAAATTCTTTCAAACGATTTAAAAAAAAAAAAGTATTTTATAGATTGTTCTCTAATTTTGATCTCCAGTTTTCTCAGTTTTTTCAGCTCATAATAAATAACTAACTAAATACATAAGTAAATAAATAAAATAAATGTACATTTCAGTGATATCTGATATACTTCCTTTAGAAACCAAGAAGGCAAGGTTTAGCACGGCATTTAGGCCCTACTGGTAGGTAATTATACCATCTGGCTGCAAAAATATTTTTTCTTAATTCAAATTTAAAATAGCTGTGTATACACTCTTAAAAATAAAGGTGCTTCACGATGCCATAGAAGAACCTTTTTGTCTAAATGGTTCCATAAAGAACCTTCAACATCTGAAGAACCTTTCTGTTTCACAAAAGGTTTTTTGTGGCAAATAAGGTTCTTCAGATTATAAAAAGGTAAGAAAGAGATGGTTCTTTAAAGAACCTTTGACTGAATGGTTCTTTGTGGAACCAAAAATGGTTCTTCTATGGCATCGCTTGAAGAACCTTTTGAAGCACCTTTATTTTTAAGAGTGTACTGACATATATTTTGCAATAAAATTGCTAGAAATATATTTGATGTCAATGCATCAAAAAGGTGTTTTTTTAGAATGAAGTAGACTTTTAAAAGTGTACTTCATTAAACTTTTTAACCTTTATGATAAGCTTAATATTTTGTTTCAAATCAGTGGTGTGAAATTTCCCTGCTTAGCCACTAAGGAGGCACTGATCTCAGGTGAACACATTAACGGTGTCTAATATGTATTTTTAATGATCTTGGCTCAGTTCATTAGCAGATGGCTGTAGATGTATGGCCTGAGTTCATGACAGAGAGCTCTGGGGCCATAGTGGGACAGAAATTACTTTTGCAGGAGCCACTAGAGCTGCTGTGTCAGGGCTATAAACTATGAAATCCTTAAACGTGAATATACATTTAAGATTAATATGATTTTAATATAAATATTAATTGTAATAATTAATTATTTATAACCATACAAGCATTTTGAATGCAAAGATCACATACATAGCTTATTTAGTGATTATCAAACTGTCCGTCGTTTTAGATTTTTAGAAGTTTTGCTATAGGTGGCGCCATAAGGCATGAACTTGTGAGTGAGGGGAATAGTAGTCACCTCCCTTTTAACCGAGCAGGTGTGTGATGTTGAGCAGAAGAGCTCTGTGTAGTTACAGTGAATCAGAGCAGGAGCGCGTCATGGGACGCCAGTGCGCCAAAGAAGAGACGCTGGATCGGTGCGCCTGACTTTCACGGACACTTTTACGCAATTTCTCATGTGTTCAGACTTCCAGATCGCAACTGCCTGAATCCTCAGACTTTTCAAAGTATTCTTTCTGGACGGTCTTTTGAACAGTAGACATGAATACTACATTCAACCAAACGGACAGCGGAATCTTCTCCAACCGGACTGAGGAGATCCTCCTGTGCTGTAACTTCTCGTCGGTGGTGACGGATAACAGCTTCATCGCGGCCGCTCCGGATGAGAGGAGCCTCTTCATCATGAGAATAGTTCAGATAGCGGTGATGTGCGTCCTGTCCCTCACCGTAGTCTTCGGGATCTTTTTCCTTGGCTGTAACTTGCTGATCAAGTCGGAAGGGATGATAAACTTTTTGGTAACAGACCGGAGACCTTCCAAAGAGGTAGAGACGGTCATCGTGGGCGCGTACTAGAGACATGATGAGGATTATGCACTGCCATCAAAAGAAGTTTGTGTAGCCTACCTCCTGATGGACATGTATTTCGATGGCCTCTTTACAAACAGGACACAATATTATTTGGCCCGCTAAAAACTATGATTTGGAGATCAACTGAACGCACTCTCTCCATTTTGCGCACACGCGTTTCGGCTCTTACAATCAAGCGCTTTTCAATTATGAGACGAACCACCCAGATTTCAAATCAGATACAGGCATGGATTCTTACATTGGTCATTGAAAATATGTATACTGTATGTGCAAACACGGGAGTTGTTGCACATATTGACTGTTTTGTAATGGTTATGGATCTCCTTCTGTAAAGCACATTGTAAGCACTGCGCGGACTAATTATTTGTTGTTTAGCGAGATCAAAGCATAATGTTTAATACAATAAATTCATATGTATATGAATAAAATGTTTTTTTTCTCTCTTATTTGTTTTTATTATTAGCTGTACTCCTTTTAACGGGCGTTTTGTGGAGATGTATTTACACTGTAAGATAAAAAAGCGCGTCATGTGGTAACATTAATTATTATTAATTATTTAGGCTTAAATGTCTGAGAAAAAAAACTGAATGTACTGGACAATGAATGTCATTTTAAGGGTCAGAACAAGTGTATCCTTAAGGTAAAACATCACATATTCACCTTAATTTAAAACAAGTGTCATTAAATATAGTTTGTTAATGCATTACAGTACATTTTAGTTTTAGATTTTATTCTGACATCCAGACTGATGCATGTTGAGAACATGCAAAGGGAACTTTTTCTATTAAAGCCTATATAAAATTGTTTAATGTCACTATTATTTAACTAACAGCATGCTGACTGATATAACAGGAAGTGGTGCTGAACAATAAGCAATATGTATTTTCCTTTAACGTCTGTTTGTGCCTGCCCTTTTCAGTCTTCCTGCCCTGCACACAGTAAGATATTTGGGGACATTTATCAATACCACTCTATAAGACAATTATACACGCAATACACTGACAGACCTTTTTTCAGATAAGATAAATCTAAGGCAGGTATGGAAGTCCCAAAGCTTTTACAAAGAAGATGATAATCATTTGCCGTTTCTAATTGTCCACAACTTAAATGACAGCATATAAATTCTTTAGGTGATCATTTATTTCAAGTTTGGGGATTGTTTTGTTTGAATGCACAATTAAGCAAAGCGGTAGTGCATTTCATAAGCAGGTAAAATGGGCTTTCTGTTGCTCGGCTTTGGATAATTAAATGGAATTCATCAGTGGTTTGAGTTCAAAGGTACTTAAGTCTTACTTAAGTGGGTCAAGAAGCACTGCTAAGTTCAACCAATGCAACATTAAATCGAATTCAAATACATTTAAATAGCACGCAATTAAGTGTCTGAAAACATTACTTTCAGTTTGCACTTAAGTGTATTCTTTTAAAGTATGCTATTTCTGTAACAGGTACTGTTTTTAAAAGTATGCTGAAATGTACTTTTTTATAATGGCAGACATGTAAACTTTCTCTTGAAAAGAAGTTGTTCTGTCAGAGTTTTAATGTTCGGTATGGAAGGAAACACTGACTTTCTGGCTGAGTGAATTGGCCTTAAAATAGAGAAGATATTGTCTTTCTCCTGTCATGTCCACTCCAGTCATGAGTCTGATGGCAGGGAGGCAATCGAAAGGACGGGGCGGCACTGACACGAGGGGTGTCGATCGTTTCATGAATATTCTGCATGAATACATCTAAACACATGTCCCTAAATATACAATGAATCATTATCTAGACACTGGTGTCACATTGGAACATGTAGACCTCAGAGACTGGTGTTTGATACAAAAACAGGGGTGCAGAGGAAGTCTCTCTTTTTTTTTTCCAGAGGTGAGTGATGATTATGACAGTGCCCTGAGCTCCAGCTCATCCATCAGCGGATTGGCAGAAACGCTCAGAGGCCCAGCGGGGCTCATCAATGATCATGATGTTGATTGACAGCTCTAGACGGCACTGTGACAGAGCCATCATCTGGTCCTGTGTTCTTCATGTACCTTTGAGAAAGAGAATTGTCACAAGTAATACTGTAAGATTGTTAGGAAGAGTTGGAGTTGGAGGAATTTTAGGAATTTTGACTCGAGACGTTAAAAAATAATTCTGATCTCTTTCTACAGTGGGTGTTAAAGGGATAGTTCACCTAAAAATGAAAATATTATGTTAATTTACCTGACCCTCAGGCCATTCAAGGTCTTTTTTTCTAGAACAGTTAAGAAGATTTTTTGCTTAAATCAAGGTCCTTCATGATTCATAAAATGCAAGACAACAGCTACAGTCACTTTCCTAGTCAAATAAAAGCATATTAAGCAACACAAAATTAATACCTGTGACTCCTGACGATATATTGAAGTCTTATGAAGCGAAATGATCAGTCTGTGCAAGAAACTGAACATTATTTACAACATTATTAGTTGTAAACCAGAGCCTCAGGCAAACAGGGAAGTCTGATTCTTTTCTGTGAACTGATTCTTTTGGACAGTTTGGGTGGAGGCCGCTCACTCTAGGCCGCCTGCCGCCGCTCACTCAGCCCTCCGCGTGTGACGCTGTGTTTCGTTGTGAAAGTGAAACTACTTTGTTTGGCCTTCCAAAAGAGGACACGACTAGAAATCAGTGGTTAAGTTGTATTTACAACACTGTTCCAGAATAGTTCAACCCAATGTTGTCCAGATGTGTGCAGCGCGTTTTATGGAGGACTGTTTCCTGATCCTGGTAGAGTAGACAATGCCGGCTGTTCTGACTCTTAGACTGTAAGTACGTTTTTTATATTTAAAGATAAAAACCAGGAACTGGCTCAAATAGCCGATGCACCATATAGACCGTTCTACTGGCTCATTTCGAGTGACTGTTTTACTTCATAAGACCTCAGCATATTGCCCGGAAGCCACAGGTATTAATTTTGCGTTGCCTGATATGCTTTTTGTGACTGTCAAAACAAAGGTAGCTGTTAACTTGCAATTTAATGAATAACCAAAAACCATGATTTAAGCTAAACATCTTCTTTACCATTCTACCGAAGAAGTCTACTGAAGTAAATTAACAGCTATTTTAAAAAAAATTTGCGGGTGAAATATCCCATTAACTGGTTTCACAACAGTACCAAAACTGTTCTTGAAAATATCTTTAAAATTAAAAGGTAACAGTTTTTCATAACGTGACATTGTTAAACAAGTTACATGTACTTACAATAGTAATAAAAGTCAATTATGCGTAAAAACCAAAACCCTAAATCTATAGTAAGCCCATGATGTTAATAATTGCTAAAAACACTACTAAAAATTTTAATAATCTAAAGAACCTTTTGTGCAACGGAAATGATGCTAAAGGTTCTCCATGGAACCACTGATGCCATTGTTTTTTATTTGTGTAATTACACTGTATCAATGTTAGTTTCTAAATATCTCTTGTTTTCATGCTGCCTGATGTTCATCATGATGTATGTTGTCTGCAGCCAGTAGTTCACAGACAGCACCACAACACACGTTTATCCTAGGCACAATCGAATCTCTATTTAACATCTGCGTCTGTGTTTGTTCGTCTTTTGCCTTTACATATCCATCTTGCAGTATCTCTGCTGGCATCTGCCTGATGTACTGTAACTTGTATGACAAATGAATCTGTGGCAAAATGCCATAAAGTTTGATGGGATATTATATTTCTTTTGACAATTTTTTCCTCAAATCTGCTTGCCATTTCAATTTGTTTCCTGAACTTTCTTTAGTGAAGAGCATTCTCTAAGATAAATGTGAAAAGACATCAGTAAAACAACAACGGCATTTGTCTCTGTTGTTCCTCAGCTCCAGCACTCATTGCTGCTAAGAACAATTTGTCTGAATTCACCCATGATGTTTGATGTTCACCAATTTCACAGAATGATTTCACTTGAGCTGATGTTCTTTTGATTAATTGCGCAGAAAGCGACTGTCAGGGTGATATTGATCATAAAATCTATTTGGACAGAGAGTCAAGCTCAGCCCCACTGTTCCTAGACAGTGCTGCATCTAAACTGACTGGGATTATAAATTGGGCCTAACTTTGCTCATGGTTCCTTCAAAGTTTTCTCCATGGTTTCTAGAAGATAGCCTATTTGGAATGCCTTTTGAGTTGACAAATATACATGTAAAGCACTTGTTTTTAAATGTAATAAAATGCAGCTTCATCATTAAAAATGTGAAATGAAATATATGGCATAAAAGTTTAAATACAAATTACATTAATGCATGTATTGATTTAGCAGTAAACTTAAACCTTATTTCAAATGTGATAAAAGTAACTAAGTCCCCTGGGTCAAAACAACACAAAGTTTGGTTAATTGCAATAATGTAATTTTAAAATAATAAACTTTTCATTCAATTACAATTAACATGCACTTAAATGTACAAAAACTTTACATTCAGTTTTTATTTTAAAGTAGGCTATATTATTTCCATAGGAAGTTATGTTTTAAGAGTGCTTCTTTTTCGCAAAAGTAGTCTCAACCAAAAATCAATGGCTTGACCAAACACCACTCATATTTTCTTCAGTAAATCTAGTTACTCCATGATACGTTTATGACTTTACAGTGAAACTGCCAAATGGTTCCCAATAACTGCTGAATCAATAATAAAAACACCCAAATCTCTTATCACAGTGTTAGCTTTCCCAGTCAACTCCTGAATAATATATGATGAATTTGAGTAGTGGCCTCATCATCTACTGAGGTGTTTAATAGCGCTATACATTATTCATAATCTGCTTGTCTCAGTCAACACGTTTCTTGTCTTTGTGCTGTTTATGTTTTAGCTCATCCATATTTCAGCATGTTTGCTCTACGGCAGGTCTTCGGCAGAAGCAGCTCGGCAGTGAAGGTATCATACTTGAGCCATGAGGGACAACGACAGTTGATGACTTTGAAGATTAAGGTTGCTCTCCGGAGAGTCTGAGCTATGACAAACATACGTAAAAGTGTGTAAATGTGTGTGTGTCCGTCCGGAGAATACTCGACTGCATCGCCATGGCAACCTGACAGCTGTACCACAGGTGGTTCACACAGGAAACAGCAAGGATGCAGGTTTCTGTAGCAAGTCAGTATCATCCTGCAAGAAATGAAATAATCCTGCGTGACTGGAAACATTCGCTCATTGGCACTTTCTGTGTACTATGTACCATGTACCAAGACTTAACAAGCCACTAAGCTAAGCAATGTTGCAGCTTTTTCCATGGATCAATGATTTTGCTCTAAATTACTGATAATGAAACTTCAAGAGTGCAGATAACTGAGTTATCGTCTCACGAGCGCAGAGATATGGAGTTGAACTGTTCGCTTGTGGTGTGTTTATAGGGGTCATATGATGCGATTTCAATT